GATAGATAGATAGATAGATAGATAGATAGATAGATAGATAGATAGATTGATTGATTGATTGATTGATTGATTGATCAACCAGGGCTCGAACCTGCAACCTCAGGATTACAAGACCACAGCACATTTATTGCACAACAACATTAAAGTCCAAACATATAGTGTTTCAATCTGTCAGTGATGGGGCTGTTGGTGTACTGCTTGTTTTTCTTGTGTTTGAAGATGTTCCATGTGAAGACACCTTCTGCTTCCTCTCCAGGTGCAGCCTTACGGGTCGTCCGTGTACTGCTCCGACCTGCTGGACGACACGGGCTGCGTGGCCCTGCTGGTGGTGGGCTTCCTGCTGCTGACCCCCCTGCTGGTCCTGGCGCTTGCGGCCTTCTGCCGTCTGGCTCGGCACCTCCAGCTGGGCCTGTGCTTCATTCCCTACAGCCGGGCCGTCTACAAGAACCTGCCGGCCTCCCGCCTCCGGGGACCTGGCCCGGGGGGCTGCTGCAAGCAGCAGGAAGCCCAGGAGAGGGAGGGGAAGGGCAGCATTTGGGTGTAGGAGTGAAGAGGAGGGTAAAGTGTAGTTTGGCTCTTTTTGTTAGTGTTTTTAAATCAGTTTGTATTTTCTGACCCATATTTCATCATCTGTACTGTTATAAATGTTAGCCTGCAGTTGTTTGTCCTGTTACTTTGAGCTTTTTATACTCTTTCAATTTATGGAAAGTTTTTATACCTTATTTCTTATAATAAAGTGACATTTTAGAATTCAGGTTATCCAAAAAAACTGAAACGAGTCTGTTCTTTTTGTTTATCTTTTAGTCAGAAGGAGAAATTAAACAGAATAAAAATAAAAACAGATAGTCAATCAAAAAGAGTGAGTGACGGGATCCTCAACCTGAAACTGGACCTCTAAGATGTATAAGTTGTCGGACTGTTAGCAAAATATCTCATGAACAACTGCACAGATTTTGATCAAACTCTCTGAAAATAAATATTAGCTGTTTATCTACAACTGGTTAACTTTTGGAGTCAGTCCAATCCAAGATGGCTGCCTCAGCTCTAAATCTGTGTTATTGTGTAAAGTGCCTATAGCTAAGTCAGTTTTACAGGCATTAAGCTACAATTTGATGCGGTAGTAGCTCAGAGTTGTCTTTATCACATATTCCAAGTGCTGACAGATTACACATCATAAAATTCAGTTAGCAAGGTAGCAGGTGAGAGAAGTTTTATTTCTCAGGGATTTTCATTTATTTATTTTGTTTTGGATTTTGACCAAATAATAACAGCATGAAGTACTGTATTTTTTTTTCATTCAACCTTTATTTAGACAGGTAAATCCCAATGAGCCTCGAGGACTCATTTACAAGAGAGACCTGATTTAACAAAGAATGATGACAACAATGGACAACAGTGACAACAATAAATAATTATAAAAAGTCATACTGCAGTTGTTTGTTTTTTTTAACAAATAGGATGGCTAAAAGAAAAAGGTAACAAAAACAAAAAAACAGCTAGATTCTAAGGCGAATGTAGAAAACTAAAAACAGGAACATGTCTGCGTTGGTCCCTGCCAGGAGTCCAACAGATTCTTAAAGCCACTTAGAGAGGTCAAGGTCGAGAGCTTCAATTGTTTTTGTAAGATATTCCAGGAAACAGGAGCGAAGTAGGAGAAGGCCCTTTTGCCAAGTTCAGTCCTCATTGAGGGAACACTGCAGGTAATAATATCCTGAGAGCGCACGCTGTAGCTGCACTCATGCAGAGACATGAAGGAGGAGATGTATGAAGGCAGCAGACCAAGAAGTGATTTAAAGATGAAAGTGTACCAGTGATAGAGTCTGAGTGAAGTTAATGATGTCCAGTTAACCAGTGAATACGGGGTGCAGTGGTGGGTACGATAATCACAGCCAGTTATGAATCTTAGTGCACCATGATAGACAGCATCCAACATCTGCAGGGTTCTTGTAGGAGCGTTCATGTAAATAATGTCACCATAATCAATTGAGGAAAGGAAAGTCACAGATACAAGGCGTTTTCTAGCATTCAGGGTTAGACAGGATCTGATTCTGAAAAAGAAACCCAGTTTACCTTTCAGTTTCTTTACCAAGTTTTCCACATGGAGCTTAAAAGAGAGATGTGAGTCGACCAAGATTTTCCAGCGTACAAGTCGCTCTGGAGTATAAGTTTCATCAGTCAAAAAAGCATCATGAAGAATTAAAAAAACATATATAAGTCACGTTTATTATGGGTTTATTTAATGGTCAAAACAGCTTCATTTCACCTGGGCAGCACAGTGCCATCCATCCATCCATCCATCCATCCATCATGGCCGGAGCAGCTAGCTCTGCAGCGTTCCTCCACCTACACCAGCTGAGTGAATCAAGCGCGCACGGGAGGACTCGTTGTTTCAGTTCGTATAAATTCAAAGCGTCAGTCAAAAATTGCTCTGAATATGGAAAAAAAAACGTATATAAGTCGCAGGACTGACAAGTCTATGCAAAAAAGCTGTGACTTAAACGCCGGAAAATACGGTGCACTTTTTCTTTGCATATGTAAAAGTGAAGCACAGCTGGTAGAGCTGCTGCCTCTCAGTGAGGAAGTCGCTGGATCGAATCCTGGCCAGGAAACTTTCTGGGTGGAGTTTGCGTGTTCTCTCCGTGCATGTGTGGGTTTTCTCCAGGTACTCCAGTTTCCTCCCACAGACCAAAAACATGCATATTAGTCTGACTGGTGACTCTAAATTGTCCCTAGGTGTGAGTGAGAGTGTGAATGGTTGTTTGTCTCTATGTGTCTCTGTGATGGACTGGAGACATGTCCAGGGTGTCGTCTCTTGCACAGTAAATGCTGGACATGGGCACCAGTGACCCAAAAAGGAAGAAGAAAAAGATGTTAGGGGTCAAAGCAGCAGTTTCAGTCATATCAGAATATTTCTGCTGGAATCTTCATGGTGGACAGGTTTATAAAAGAATGTTTGGTTGACACTAATATTTCTGAAACTTGTTTTAAGATGGAAGAACATTGGTGAAGATTCTCAGTCATCCAGGACATGGTAAGTTCAAAAAAGTTCAAGACAAAAGCAACTGAACTTTATTTTGTAACTGAAAACGTTTCACTTCTCATCCAAGGAGCTTCCTCAGTTCAAACAGTGTGGGGTTCGAGTTATAAAGCTGAGGTAAGCTAGATACATGTGCAGATTGCCCTCTCACTCCTCACTACAGGGGTTCATTAGGGTTTTTCTTAGTCTGACTCACAGATGGGTCAGTCGCATAGTTGAAAATCCTGATAGGTGTGAAAATAACTGGGTGTCAGTCCTAAAGCTGCATTATAAGTTTTTGAAAATTGAAATGTGAGACCTTCTCCTCTGTTTAAAGATAGTTTCTCTTGTTTTAAATAAATTGCTTCTTCACCCCGCTCTCAAGCCAGCTGTCTTCTACCTGAAATGTTGTCTCTTATCCCTGAGGTGTAGGTGAACCACTGAGTCTTGTCCAGAGGAGCTGATTCTCCTGTGTTGAGCCATCTGTGAAGAAGCTGTTTGGTTTCTTCAATACAGAGATCTGGACTTTCCTCGCTGCACTGGACTGTAGACACCAAGATGGCAGTCCACTCCGACTAGCCGTTAGCATCACTCTGGTCAAAAATATACCAAATGCTGCTCCCTCAAAATTTGTGACATATGTGCCATTGTGCTGTGTGATAAAACTGCACATTTTAGAGTGGCATTTTATTGTGGGCAGCCTAAGGCTAGCCTGTGCAATAATCAAGTTGTCTAATCAGCTTCTGGCAGCACGGTGGCGCAACTGGTAGAGCTGCTGCCTCTCAGCGAGCAGGTCCTTGGTTCAAACCCCGGTCCAGGGGCCTTTCTGGGTGGAGTTTGCATGTTCTCTCTGTGCATGCGCGGGTTTTCTCCGGGTGCTCCGGTTTCCTCCCACAGTCCAAAAACATGCATGTTAGGCTGATTGGTAACTCTAAATTGTCCCTAGGTGTGAGTGAGAGAGTGAATGGTTGTTTGTCTCGTTTGTCTCTATGTGGCCCTGTGATGGACTTGCGACCCATCCAGGGTGTACCCCGCCCCTCGCACAGTGATCGCTGGACATGGGCACCGGCGACCCCCGTGACCCAAAATGGAATAAACGGGTAAAGATAATGGATGGATGGATGGATGCTTGAAAGAAATGTTTCGTCTTTCATCTGAAAGTCTTTGTCAGTCTGAGGCCTGCCAACAAAACAGAACCTTACTGACACGTTTCAAGCCAGCCTGCTGTGGAAGTCTAGAAACTGCTTCCCGTGGTTTTTAAAGCACAATTTTTCAGCGATTCCTGGTGTCTAGTTTGACTATGGCAACATTTTAAAGTCTTTTCTTCAAGGATTCAAGGTTCTTTATTTGTCATACGCACCACTTTTTTGCTTAGAGAATATTTGCACAAGTTGAAGCAAAATTCCTACTAATCTTCCCAAAAAGACCACAATTTTTTTAAACCAACATTGTTTGTTAAAAAAGACACCAAAGTTCATGCTCAATAATCCAGGTTAAAAAAAATCCAACAATGTTCAGTCAGGTCATCTGGACAGTCTCATTTTATGCTGAGATGTTTCGTCCTTCATCCAAATGACTTCTTCAGTCTGAGGAGCCACCAAACAAACTGATTCCCACAAACAGCAAACTCCATAGTGGAAAAAAAAAAGACACTTAGCTGGTGCTAGAGGACAATTAAACATTGTTTAAATTTTAAGTAGAGCAATGAAGTTGACTTCCATTATGTTTTCCATCAGATTTAAAAATAATAGTTACAGCGAATGTCGATGCCCCTTTATATCCAGTATGTTAGCTAAAATGTTTGTTTTTACTCTAAATCAAGTTGAGAAGGAAGACTAAATTAAACTAAAAGCTCCCATTAGTGTTGGACTCATTTAAAACTCTGAAGCATTCAATAAATCAGCACGGTTCTTTAGAACATGGTTGTTGCTCTGAAACTTACATCAACTTGTGGGTAATAGATTATTGGGGATTCATGGCATCGCTAATAAATTCAGCTAAAAAACATTTCATCTGTATAAATAAAGGCTGAATGTAATAATTTCATATTATGCTTTATAGAAACATCATGAAAAGATGGTGATTATTTTAATGATGTGTAATACATTTCATATCCATAAGATGGAGACACATTTAACACTAAAACAGGAGTGGTGACATTTTACCTAATCGAGTAATTTGATGATTTGCACAGTGAATTGGAAAAAATCTTTTCTGTAAAACAGAAAATCTAGACATTTCCTGTCTTTTTCTTGTTGTAGCATAGTTAGCATGCTTGGTAAAAACATGCTTTCCCTGTACAATTTAGGAATATAAGCTATATACTTTTTATAAACCGGTTCTTATGCAACATATTAAAATAACTTCATTTTTTTTGTATATTTTAAGCTATGATTGCTTTTTTGAGTTTTTAATGTTAGTTCTTAAAACACAATGAAATACTAAAATTATTATTTTGGCCTACCTGAAACCTAATGTTTTAGATGTAATTGTCCAAGATGCTAATTTAGATTTACTTACATTTCATAAAAAAAATTATGTTTTTATCTACTGTATTTTCCGGCGTATAAGTCGCAGGTTTTTTTGCATAGTTTTGTCAGTCCTGCGACTTATACAACTTATACTTATATAGTAGCCGCGCTAAGAGCAGTTGCAGCTTCACAGGCTCCCAGTACGATCCCAGTTTGTAGGAGTTTTGAAATTAACTCTGTGCCTGACTCCACAAGATTTAGGCATGTGAATTATAGCTGAACCGAACTGATGAGAATAGGAGTGGATTTGCCACGAAATATAGTAGAAATCAGCAACGAACTCAAAACTACGCTCAGTAGAGTGCAGCTCTTAAAGTCATCTACTTGAAGCTGTGGCAGAAGCATTCCAATGTGTAGAAGAGGAAGCGCTGCTCCCGGCTTAAGAAGAGAGGGCACCGGGCGGGGGTTCTAGTGAGGCTACGTGCTAATGCTAAATCCGGAAAACTCCCGATGCCATCTCTCTTTCTGTCAAACGTCCGCTCGTTGGACAACAAGATGGATTTGCTTAGTCTGAGAGCGGGCGCCTCAGAGGAGATGATGAAGTGCGCAGTGCTTTGCCTCACAGAAACATGGAATACAATAGAAACGCTGGATACAGTCTTCCAGCTAGATGACAGACTCTTTTTTCGAGCAGACTGCTGCAGCAAGCTAACGGGGAAATCACGGGGAGGTGGAGTGTGCATTTACGTGAGTAAAAGTTGGTGCACAAACTGTACTGTAGTAAAAAACTCATGCTCAAAGGCTTTGGACCAAGTGACATTGAAATTTCGACCATATTATCTACCCCGCGAGTTTACAGTGGCTTTCATAACGGTTGTTTACATTTCTCCGGATGCTAATGCTAATGAAGCCCTGCAAGAACTGCATGATCTCTTTAGATCGCTGCAGAGCAAACACCCTGCTGCTCTTTAAATAGTGGCCGGAGACTTTAATCACGTGGATCTAAAAGACTGCCTCCCAAGTTTTTACCATACCATACCAACATGTGGGAACAACACGCTGGACCATGTTTACACGAACGTAAAAGATGCATACAAAACCAAACCCCGCCCCCTTCTAGGATTCTCTGATCACATCTCAATCTTAATGATCCCTGCTTAACTCCCCCCGCTGAGACGCTCCCGCCCAGAACAATAGAAAGTTGAATGTTGGGTCCAGGACAGTGGCCCCATACTGAAAGATTGTTTTGAAAGAACAGACTGGGAGGTTTTCAGAGAAGCTGCTGAAAATGATGGAGCACCAGATCTTGACCAATACGCATCCTCAGTTCTGGGTTACATTAGTACATGTACTGACACCGTCTCCATCTTAAAATATGTTAAAAGTTACCCGAACAGAAATCCTTGGCTGAATGCAGAGGTGCGCACCCTGCTGGAAGCCAGGAACACTGCCTTCAGGTCTGGAAGCTCAGAGGAGCTAAGAAGGACAAGGAAAGAGCTAGTTGATGGTGTTAAAAGGGCCAAGGCTACATATGCAAAGAGGATCGAGGGTCAATTCACCTCACAAGACCCTCGGAGCATGTGGAGGGGCATTAAATGCATAACAGATTATAAAGGAAGGAGCGAACAATGCCTTAAAGACCCATCTCTGGCTGATGCCCTCAACAAGTTCTATGCACGTTTTGAATACCTGAACAGACCACCCAGCATCAGACTCACCTCACCACCAGATGAAGAGCATCTCAGCATGAGCTAACCAGAAGTAAAGAGTACTTTCAGGAGGATTAATCCGCACAAGGCAACCGGCCCAGACAACATCCCCGGGAAAGTGTTGAAAGAATGTGCTGATCAGCTCTGCGAGGTGCTGGCAGACATCTTTAACTCCTCACTTACCATGGAGACTGTTCCCACCTGCCTGAAGACTGCCACCATCATCCCAGTCCCAAAAAGTACTACAGTGACTGGTCTGAATGGCTATTGGCCAGAGGCCCTCACCCCGATAGTTGCTAAATGCTTCAAAAAACTGGTCATGACCCACATCAAAACAACCATCGACATCAGCGAGGACCCTCATCAGTATGCATACCATGAGAACCTATCAACAGAGGATGCCATCTCCTCTGTGGTCCACACTGCGCTCAACCACCTGGAGCAGAAAAACTTTTACGTCCATATGCTCTTTGTGGACTTCACATCTGCCTTGAACACCATGATCCCCCAAACCCTGAAGGACAAACTATTAACTCTAGGACTAAGCCCCTCCATCTGCAACTGGGTCCTAGACTTCTTAACAAACAGAACTCAGTCTGTAAGGATCCACAATTTTTCCTCCTCCACCATAACCCTCCACACTGGCTCTCCTCAGGGATGTGTGTTGAGCCCTCTCCCGTTCACTCTGCTCACATATGATTGTGCAGCTACCCATCCAGGCTGTCACATTGTAAAGTTTGCAGATGATACAGCGGTGGTGGGATGTATCACAAACTATGATGAGTCCAGCTACATGCAGGAGGTGGAACACCTGGAGAGCTGGTGCAAAGAAAATAACCTTCATATCAATGTGAAGAAGACAAAAGAGATGATCAAGGACTTCAGAAGGAACAAACACATCTACACCCCCCTGAAGATAAGAGGATCTGCGGTGGAAGTGGTCTCCAGCTACAAGTACTTAGGTGTACCTGAATGACAACCTCAGCTGGGGCAACAACACTACCAGCCTGATCAAGAAAGCACATCAAAGACTCTACTTCCTCAGGTGGCTGAGACGAGCTGGTCTGGGAAGCTCAGTCCTCACCTCCTTCTACAGATGAGTAGTGGAGAGCATCCTGTGCTCCAGCATCAACGTGTGGCATGGAGGCTGCACAGCTGCATAAAGAAAAGCTTTGCAGAGAGTGGTGAAGGCTGCACAGAAGACTGTTGGAGTCAGCCTCCCCACCATCATGGACATTTACACCTCCAGATGCAGGAAGAGGGCCACCTGCATCATGAAGGACCCCACTCACCCAGCACACACACTTTTTTCCCCACTCCCCTCAGGAAGGAGGTTAAGGAGCATTAAGTGTTGAACCACTAGACTGAGGAACAGCTTCTACCCTGAAGCTGTTAAGACATGAATCTCTAACCAGGATAATCACTGTGAAAAATCACATCATGTTGCTGCTAATCTGTTTCATGTTGCTGCTGATCTGTTTCATGTTGCTGCTGATCTGCTTCATGTTGCTGTGTTCATGTATGCTCGTCTGCTCACACAGACTCATGTTCGTGCTGCTGTTCGCCATAATGTTTTTATGCTACTAGTGCTTAATGTATTTTTAGTTTATGTTTTTCTTAGCTCATATCTGAGATCTTATTACTGTTTTTCTTTTCCATTTTATTTTGGATGTAACTGGGACCCTGTGTACATAATTTCGTTCCACCACATGTACCACATAGGGTGCGAATCAGGGCCGGAGTGGGACTCATTTTCAGCCCTGGAGTTTCATGCCTCAGAGTGGCCCACTTTAGATCGCAACCTATTATTATTAAAATCATGTACTTGTAATTATAAGCTTACATCAGGGGCAATTCTAGAATCTGCCCTCTAGGGTCGCTTTTAGCTCGCATTGCTGACAAAGGCTCTTGGCTTGAACAATGTGGTGAACATTGGCGTCAGAAGCTTTTTTTAATGGAATTTGGGGGAGGTTGGCACACTGGTGGGGGGGGGGGTCTGGGGGTCCTTCCCCAGAAAATTTTGAATAAAGTAGATGCCATTTCCTGCATTCTGGTGTATTTTAATGGACTGTTTAATATTTAGTTTTGCCTATATAAGTAACACTTGATTCAATATCTATTATAGAGTTAACGGCACAACAAGAAGTAACCTGATCAACAGCTCTCCTTGTGTGAATAGAGCATGCTCCACTTCTCTCATGCATCCTAGCCACTCAGCCACACCGGAGACTGCCTTCTCCGGACTGAACGAAAATAACAGACCGCTGAAGCCCCGGAGCTCGAATGTCCATCGTAAAACTAACGTTTACCTCGGTTTAATGTGGTGCTATGTCTCTGCAGACATTGCACGTTGCTGTCTTGTTTTGTGGTGTTTCTAGTGTAAAAAAACTTCCACACAGCGGACATGTTTGGATGAAAAGTTGGTTAGCCGTTAGCCACAGTGCTGCTAACTCAGTCCTCACGTTGTAGCTGGCTGTAAACTATGAAATGGATTTCCTGAATGTGAGGCGGGTCTCATTACTCTGGGTTCATGAGACACGCCTCCGTTCAGGAAATCCATTCCATAGTTTGAAGCCAACGTGCAGCGCAACCACAGACATGCATGGATCGGAAATATTGGCAGGTTGGATCGGAAAATTCGATACGTAAATTATGTTGGTATTGGAGCTCGATACCGATACTGGATCGGATCGGCCCCATACCTACAAAAAATTATTTTTAATTGTTAATCTTGTTAAATTTCGAACAACTGCAACAGCAAGTCCTCACGTGCATGCTCACTTCAAAAGCAGGTGCAGGCAGAGGAACGCTGGAGAGCTAGCAGCTCCGGTCGCGATGAATGGATGGATGGCGCCGCGCCACCCAGGCAAAATGAAGCTGTTTTGACCATTAAATAAACGCATAATAACTTGATGGGTCATCGGCGATGCAAAATAAATGCGACTTACACGCCGGAAAATATGGTAATTATTTTTAAAGTTTTAAATCAGGGATGTTGAGGGCCAGATTGGGATTGTTCAAGGGCCACTTTTAGCCCTGGGGCCATATGTTGGCCATGTGTGCTCTAAATGAAAGTTGGAGTAAATGTGCTTTCCAGGCCTTTCAAAGATATATAAAACCTTTATTCATATTTATAAACATTACAAATAAATGGTTTGGCAGGTGTTGAAATAAAATAAAATAATTTTGAATTTATATAAAATAAAGTTAAACGGTGTAGTGCTATTTTGCCTTTTTATAAACTCACAGCTCACACTGTCTGAACTTGTGTTTGACACGTGGTCTTGAGCAGCTGTGTGAGAACTAACAGGGCTGGTTGGTGATGCTCATCAGTAATCTGTTGTGTGGGGCTTTGTAGAGCGCCGTGAAAGCACCGGGTTCCAAGGTGCCACGCCCTTCTTCATCCACCTGACCCATGATGATGTAGCTTCCACCTGTTGGAAAGGAGATAATGGCACAAATGAGTCAGGTTTATGTGTTTTAGGTGATATTTTGTGTTGCTTGTAGCTTCAGACGGTTCCTACCTCTGCGGAGCAGGGGACACTTTTTGCACAGTGACACTAGCTTCACAGCCATGGTCTCTCCAACCTGCGCAATGGACAGGCGGCCCGCCTTGTAGGCTTTGATGAGGGAGACGTTGATGTTTAGAGTTCCTCGGGGTCCCAGGGTGAGCGAGGAAATCTTCCCAGTTATGACTAGAAAAATCAGGTGATGGGTTACCTGTCAGGTCTTGAAAAGCTGGTGAGCTTTTCCACATTTTGTTATATGAACATAGAGTAATCTCAAAAGAAGTCACACATGTGTACAAGACTTGTATGCATACAGTTAGATCCACGAGTGAACCACAACTTTTACAAATGCGTAATAAACAGTGATTCATGTACACATTTCAAATTGCACTAACAAATATGTCGCACATACAAATTGTCAAATGAATCACTTGTTGTGGACAAATCAGTCAACACAGATCAGCTTGCTTGTGAATATGACTTTGAGACCAAAAAATATATTTTTCCTGGTACTTTTTCCACAAGATGAAAATAGCAATTTTGTGGACTGTGCAGCTGAAATAAACAGCAAAAACAGGCAGGTTCTTTTTTTCTTTTTTTTTTTTTTTTTGGAAAAAAATATCCAAAAATTATATTTTTTCAATAATATATCTTTTTCCTGAACAATTTTTCACATGAAGAATAACCTTCTCAGTTTAGGATGTGTATTTTAACTGTTCGGTACACAAAAATAATATTTTTGGAATCTCATAACGTTAACATGAGTATATGTGTTTTAATGTAAGGGTTATGAATTACTGTGTTATTATTTATGTGCCTTTTCCCAATAACTCAGTAAATCTGGTAAGGCTTAGATGTCCCAGCTTTTCACTACCCTTGAACGCAGCATTATCTTTGTGAATCTGGAGCGGTAAGAAAGTCTCAAATATCACATTAACCATGCGCGTGTGTTGCTTCATTCATCCACAGAAGGTGATTTATGTATTTGACCATTTATATGCTCAGAATATTCCTACTTGTGCGTTTTGAAATGTGAACATTTGAAAAACTGTTTATGCATGTGTGCTTCTTGTGGTCGCTGGTCGGCAATGTTAAAACTTGTGGTTCGTTTGTGGATCTTATTGAATGCATACAAATCTTGTTGTCCACTTGTGTGACTACTTTTGAAACTGATGAATCTTCATATTGTTGCATCACAATCCCAAACTTCAAGGCATTGTATAACAATTTTATGTGATAGACCAACACAAAGAGATCAAGCAACATCGTGAAGACCAAGGTATACACTAGACAGGTCAGGAATAAAGTTGTTAAGACATTTAAAGCAGGAAGGTTATAAAACAATATGTCTAAGAGAGGGGCAGCACGGTGGCGCAACTGGTAGAGCTGCTGCCTCTCAGCGAGCAGGTCCTTGGTTCAAACCCCGGTCCAGGGGCCTTTCTGGGTGGAGTTTGCATGTTCTCTCCGTGCATGCGTGGGTTTTCTCCGGGTACTCCGGTTTCCTCCCACAGACCAAAAACATGCATGTTAGGCTGATTGGTAACTCTAAATTGTCCCTAGGTGTGAGTGAGAGAGTGAATGGTTGTTTGTCTCGTTTGTCTCTAACCTGTGATGGACTTGCGACCCGTCCAGGGTGTACCCCGCCCCTCGCACAGTGATTGCTGGACATGGGCACCAGCGACCCCCGTGACCCAAAATGGAATAAACGGGTAAAGATAATGGATGGATGGATGGATGTCTAAGAGAGCTCTCCTCAGTCCATCATCCAACAATGGAAATAGTTTGGCAGAGTTAGGTTTTGTTGAAACTAAAAATGTTGAATATCCTGATGCATGCTCAATAATCCAGGTAGAAAAATCTAAAAAAAAGTTAAATCTGGTCCTCTGGACATTCAAAAAACAAAAAGCAAAACAACAAAACACTGTAGAAACATTTCGTCTTTCATCCGAAAGACTTCCTCAGTCTGAGGTGCTGTCTTCAGCTCAGTCTTATAAATAGCACCTTCTCAGAGTGGATCAACCAGTTTTGCTGCTGACAACCAAAACCAGCTGCTCACATGGTCAAGGACCATCAGCCTAACAATGGATCATTAGCACACTGATGGTTGTTTACTATTCACAGAGGGCTGAGTGATACTAGCAATAACAGCATTGTAAGAGGGGGACAGTTGAACACGGAGGCCTCCACCCCTGTTTAATGATGGACGATTTCTTTTCACAAAGATGGCCTCTTTTACTCCTCTCTCAAACCATCGTTCCTCTCTGTCCAGGATGTGAACATCTTTATCCCTGAAAGAGTGACTGCTGGCCTGGAGATGAGTGTAGACCACAGAATCCTGGCCTGATGGTGTTGCTCTTCTGTGCTGGGCCATCCTTTTGGCCAGTGGCTGTTTAGTTTCCCCGATGTAAGACTGATCACTATGAGAAGGTGCTATTTATAAGATTGAGCTGAATACAGCACCTCAGACTGAGGAAAGTCTTTCGGATGAAAGACGAAACGTTTCTACATGTTTTTGTTATTTTGCTTTTTGTTTTTTTGAATGTCCAGAGGACCAGGTTTAACTTTTCTAGATAAAAATGTTGAAGTGCCATCCAAGCCTTTATGTCCTCAAGACATCTAAGAAGTGGATCAATTGAATACGTGTTTACCTTTTTTAAGAGGAACATAAATCTGACTGTCATCTGCATAATGGATTGAAATGCCATACTTTCTAAGTGTGGAACCAAACAGATAGAGAGAAAACAAAAGTGGGCCTAAAACTGAGCCTTGAGGGACTCCACAAAAAGAGAAGAGGATACTGATCCCTCCAGACTAACAGAGAACGTTTGGTTTGTCAAATAGGACCTGCACCATTTTAAGGCAACACTCCCAATTCCCACCCACTGTTCCAGATGAGTTAGCAGAATGTCATGTGCCACAGTGTCAGAAGAAGCTGTTAAATCTAAAAGCACACGGATGACACAGTCCCCAGAGTCAGTAGACAAAGGGATGTCATTAAAAACTAAAAAAAAAAAAAAAACATTTCAGTGCTGTGGAGAGTTTATAACTGGATTGGAAAACCTTGAGGATGTTATGCTCTTCAAGAAAGACAAGTAGCTGACTGTGCACAACCTTCTTGAGGGCTTTGGTGATAAAAGAAAGTTTGGAAATTGGTCTAAAATTAGCAAAATTAGTGGGATCCAGTCCTGGTTTTTTAACTAGAGGTTGCACCACTGCATGTTTAAAATGATCAAGGACCACACCAGAGGACAGAGTGCTATTGATCAGCTCAAGAGCAAATGGTCCTAGTGCAGGGAAACCCACTAATGTCGAGGAGGGACAGAATCGTTTGGAGAACCTGAAGGCTTCAGATGAAAGCTAATCTCCTGTAGAGAAGACAGAGTCACAGGTTCAAACCTGGGTTGTGTCATTCAGCCAGGGCTCAGATTTAAGTTTAGGCTGTCTGATCTTTAGAGAAACAACAGTGTCCATAACAGACTGACAGCTAGAGTGAAACCAAGAGCTGAGTTCCTGTGTATTGTTGAATAAAGTCCCTGGAGTGATTGACACATCTTTGATTAAAAACTGAGCAGGGGTTCATGATGCGGCAGCGCCGCAGCAGCACGCTGTTTAAAAGAACTTTTAGCAACGGGAACCGCAAATAGACATTGTGATGGCAGTATCATGCTGTGTAGATTGTTTTCTTTAGCAGGTACAAGGAAGGTGGTCAAAGGTGGAAGGAATCAACTCCTGGAAGAAAAACTGTTGAAGGCTGCTAACGTTTTGAGAATGTGCTGGAGGGTCACCAAAGCATCGATCCAGAGCTACAGTGTCGTAGCAATGAAGCATTTGCTTCAGATCTAATGATTCAGAGGAAATATAGATGGTGTTAGCTCCAGAGCTAATTAGCTCTGGAGCTAACACCATCTATCTCCAGAGTTATTAGCTCTGGAGGTAAAAGCATTAGTTCCAGAGCTAATAAATTAAACATCATAAGTTGATCATGTTTGATCGTTTTGACTGACATATTTGCATAAAGACTAATATGGGCACTAATTAGGGCTGGTCGATATGGCCAAAACTTTTATCTCAATATATTTCTTAATTTCGAATGATAACAATATAATTGGATATCGATATAAACAATATAAAAGCCTCAGAAAAACTGTACAAATAAATTAATGTTTATCTTTTATTTGTATTTAACCTTCAAAGAAATTTGAAATCACTGTCAAATAAAAAAACTCTCAAGATTGTCAACATTAATAGTTTTGACTTTAAACAACAACATAACCTAACAACACAGCAAACGTTTGCTGCATGGGTTTCTCTTTTGATACAGCTGGGGGTGTTGTTTCAGGGACACGTTGGCTCAAACTTCATTTTGCTTCATCTTGTGACTCTCAGCATACTCTATCGGGTGGAAACTCGTCAGATGGAACAAGTTAGATGTGTTCCCGCCGCAAGTTGGAGCAACTCTCTGTCACAGTTTGCAGCACACTGAAACCTGCAGTTTATCGGATCTTAGATAGCCGAACCACTTCCACACCACCAAATTAATCTTTCCTCTCTCATCAGTTATGTCATCTGCTTTCTCTTTGCTCGTGAAAGCTTGTTCAGTTACATTCTAACGGTCACGGGCACTCATTTTGAAGCGAAAACTTAACACACGTTGGAGATTAGCTTAGCTTAGCTTAGCCAGCTACCGCTAACGCCTTCTGGACTTGAGCTCTACGCAACATCTACGTCACCATGCACTTACGTAGTTGTGTCGCATCTTTTTCTGTTCGGGTTGAAAGTGAAGCGGCCGCATCAACCCGGACAGAAACAGAATGCGTCAGAAACGCTTTCACATGTCACAAGCAACAACTTTTAGTGGAACAGAGAAACAACATATTAAGAACAATATGTGAAAGTAGTCGGAGATCCCTTTAAGTGATCTTGAGCAGATCAGAAATTATAGCCAAGAAAAGAGAAAGTTAACGTGCGTATGTACAGATTGACAGATGGAGATTGTTCCATAATATGTCCATCTTTTGACGGTCATATAATTAAAAATTTAATCTAGTGAATCTTTTTCCTTCCACTTCACAACTTTGTGTTGGTTTGTCACATAAAATCCCAGTTCAATGCTTTGAAGACTGTGTTTGTAATGGGATTAAATGTGGAAAAGTTCAAACTCATCAGAATATCAGCAGAAAACATACCAAATTCACTGGAACAGAAACTGGTCTTGATGGTTCCGCTCCTCTTACAGTCTTTGGCACACAGGGGGTTTTGAGCAACTAGAATCATGAAAAGCAGAAAAAAGTACATTAAGTTTCGAGATGAGTACCTGCTGATAAATACGTCCACACCGTCCCTTACCAGGCTTCCTCCCGTTTGGTCTTGTGACACGGCCTCTTGTCGGCTTTACCAGGGGAGGTGGGACATATTTAGTGGTGGTGGGGACGGGTGGTGGGAGAGTGGCGACAGGCTCAACTGGTTTGGCTGCAGGTACTGGAGGAATGGTTCTCGTATCGGCTCCTGAGTTGACAGTTGGAGGCTGAGATCCACGGGGGACGCTGGTGTAGTAAGCGAGGAATCCATCAGAAGTCACGCTGAGGTCAGACACAAACTGGACCAGTAGCTCGTTCCCGTTGGTAATTATGGGTCTGTACAAGAGACAAATAAAACATTTCCGTGTAAGATTATGTGGGTTAGAATTTACTGTGCAGGGTTGTCTTACTGTGGAGCCTGGTCGCCGCAGTATTTCCCAATCAGGCGGGAATCGTCCCTCTCCCCACCATTGAAGAATGCCACATAGTCAAAGCGACAGTACGTGTCAGCCTCAAGTAGAAACTTCTCAAACTTCACCTGGATGACCTGGTACACAGAGAGAAACAGAAGTATGCCTCGAACGGCTCATTTGAAAGCAAAGATGCAGTGACTGCGTGAGGCACCCACCCTGTCTGGTTCCACAGTGATGAGCCAGGAGCAGCTGGTTCCTGGGGGGTACTTCTTCTCCGGCCAGTTGGGCGTCATGATCTCTCCCTGGGATTTTGTCATCTTCCCCCCACAGAACTGATCGTCTGAAATGATTCAACCAGCGTTGACGATGAATCAAGACTTCTTTTTCTCAAAGGCACTTTAAATTTTAAACCTAGAGATCATTGTGCATCAACAAGAGGTACACCAATGTCCCCCGTCACTGAGGGATTTAAAGAGTGAATGTTTTACAGTTTGTTTTTTTTGTGTGTGTTTTTCTAGACTGGAATTGAACAGGGAACACAAGTAAACACTTTTGTTTTTGGTAAAAGATTTTCAAGTGGGTAGGAGTCACATGTGTATAAGAAGAGGCAGTTTTTTTGTTTTATTTTATTATTATTTTTGCTTAATGGAGGCAACAAAAGAGTGATGGATCCAGGTGAAGGAGCAATTTTATCCACCACCAGACGCATTGGCGGAGCCAGGAGCCAAAACTGATTGATCTTCAGCTACTCCAATAATTTGAAGAAACTATACTTTTAATCACTATTGAAACTACAGTTGAAAGCATAGTTTATTGAAATAAAGAGGTGGTCAGTTGGCAGTGACCATCTTAGATTTTGACGTAGCAACCCAATCTTTGATCATGACTGTCCTTATGCCTAAATGCTATGACAAACCAATTTAGAAGTTGGTACGTTACTTATTTTTCCAAGTTATCCATCTCACAAGGTTGACATATGACAATCACCATCTTGGATTTTGATGTGGCAACTGACAACCCAATTTTCGAAAGAAACCTTTCTTATGCTGATAGAGCCACACACCAAAATGGAAGCTGGTATGTCTCTTAGTTATCATGCTCACAACATGCATGGACAGACAGAGGGTATTTCCAATCCCATTTCACTCTGCAATGGGGGAAAGAAGGAACAACCAGGTTAAAAACTTCTGCAGAGGTAATGTGCTATGTGTTGTTATCATTGTATGTTATCATACAAAGGCAACATCAGTTCTGTGCATTTAACCCATCACACATGAGGTACACCCAGGTGGGGTGGTGGGCAGCTATGTGGGCGCCCGGGGAGCAGTTAGGGATTGGGTGTCTTGCTCATGATGGACACCATGACATGTGGGAATGATGGGGATTGGGGATGGGGAGTCGAACCGCGACTTTCTGGTCCCAAGTCAGCTGCCCTACCTCTACACCATCTCATCCCCCGAGGTGGGAGGATTTGTTGATATTGCTGGAAGAGGAACCAGGAAATGATGACCCAAACACATGTTGGAAAGAGCTGTGGTCAAACACAACTGACTGTCCAAAAATTGAACACCTCTCAGCGTGATGGGATCACTAGCCCAGCAGTGAAGCACGGTGGTGGCAGCATCATGCTGTGGAGATATTTTCTTCTTGAGTAACTGGGAACTGGTTAGCACTGACATGAAACCAGTTGGAATCTCACAGAGATCTGACCTTCCAGCAGGACACCTGAAGCAACACTCCAGTGACTTAAGAACAAATAATTAAACAGTCCAGTCAAATCCCAGACCTCGATCCAACCCAGACTCTCTGGTTGGATTTAAGGATTACTGAACACAGGTGGCGCTTGTTGATCTTGAAGGAGCCGCAGCTCACTCTAAAATAAGGTAAATAAATGTGACCATACCGTTGGCATAAGGTTTGGTTCCACTGAAAAATGCCACAAATCCTCTGGACTGCGTCTCTGAATCTGTCACCATCTCCAGCATCATTGTGTTTGTGGTGGAAATCAGAGTGCCGGGGCGGAAAGTCCCACAGAAGCGGCCCAGCTTTTGCGTCGAGTCCGAGTGTCCATTGTAGACGTCCAGGTAGTCGTAGCGACACTGCGAGTCAGCCTCCAGGTCGAAAATGCGGAAGGACAGCGTGACCACGTTCCCCTCAGGGACCTGAGGAGCAAAACACACCAGCTGTGAGCTGCTGGAGGCTGGAGGAGTCAGAGAGGAGCGAGGACAGAGAGGTGGCTCACCGTAAGGCGCCAGGTGCATTTACTGTTGCTTTTGTAGAAGCTTGGAAAACCCTCGCTGCCAACAAAACCTGATTCTGCCACCTGGTCCCCTCCACAGTGGAACACGGGCCTGTGATGAAGAAGCACATGTTCCTGTTGAGACACTTGGTTAGTAACAAGGATCAGCCTTTACAAAGGGCTGCTTACGTCATGTTTGAAGTTTATAGTTAAACAATAAAACATGTAACGCAGGAAATAAAAAAAGGTTTGCAGTTGTTAGTTGTATTTTGCCAACATATGAATGAACGTGTATCACCAGCCACCTTTCATGCCAGAGCATTGAACAGAAAGCAGCTTGTGTTTAGAAATAAAGGAGCTTTAACATTTTTGGTCAAATCTAGAAAATATTCCAACATTTTTCAGTCAAGTCATTTGGACAGTTTCTTTTTTTGTGCTGAAACGTTGCACCTTCGATCCAGAAGGCTTCATCAGTCAAGGAAACACACAACACAAAACTGATTAATCCCCCAACAGCTTACTCCAAAGTGGAACAAACAAGTTATGTTGGTGCTAAGATGGTCACTTTAACACGCCCCCTCATCCGGTGCCGGCCCTCTCCCTCGTCGACAGTCATGTCAAACTGGTTCAAAACCAACAAAGTCCATGCTCAATAATCCAGGTATACAATCCAACAATTTTCAGTCAGGTCATCCAGACAGTTTCTTTTTTGTGTGCTGAAATGTTTCACCTTTCATCCAGACTGAAAATTGTTGGATTGTATACCTGGATTATTGAGCATGGACGTTGTTGGTCTAGAAAATAGTGTTTTGTTGCAATCCAACAATCAAGTATGTGTCGTGAATGACTCCCAGATGCTACCACGTCAAATTTTAGCTCAGTATCTATAAAATTCACTGACTTATAACCAATTTTGTATTTTATAAGGTCAGTTAGTTGTGTCGGCCATGTTGAATTAAGTTGACTTCAAAAGTTGAACAATTATACACATGCTTCTAGTATTACTTTCTGAGAGTTTCAATAAAATCTGTCCAGTGGGTCATTAAATATTTTGCTAACAGACCGACTGGGTTGACTCCAACAGTTAATGCCATAGTTTTAGGCACAGGTCAGTGTGTTGTGATGTGTGCTCAGAGTATGGGCCTGGGATTATTCTTAGCCACTACCACCTTCCATTTTAGCTCAATATCTTTAACACTACCTGAGTTAAAGCAAGTTTTACATTTAGAGTTTAAGTTTGACAAGGTAATGTCTTAATTATATGCAAAATGTTTATAATATGTCATTTACATTAAAAGCTGTAAAGTTAAAATTCTTTTAATATTTTCTATCCTGGCCTGTCCCAAGAGTCAGCCCCGGTAAACCAGGGTCAGAGCACTAAGGCCTTAGCCTATGGCTGCTGCCCATGGCACCATGCATAACTCATTCAAGCTGAGTCAAACCAGAACCTATGGGTAGAATCCCAGTCACCAGGCACTTGCCAGCAAACCCCATCTCCGGGTGGAAATCAGATCATGGATGCAGGCGGGTAACATGAGTTTTCTCTGCAGGGTAGCTGGACTCTCTCAATGAGATCGTGTGAGAAGTTCATTTATCCAGAGAGGCTCGGAGTAGAGCTGCTGCTACTCCACATCGAGAGGAACTAGTTTAGCTGGTTCAGACATCTGGTAAGGATGCTCCCTGGTTGCCTCCTTGAGGAGGGTTTCCATGCATGTTCATTTGAGAGGAGACCATGGGGGAGACCCAGAACACACTGGACAGACTGTCTGTCAGATGACTTAGGAATGCATTAAAATCCCCCCAGAAGACATGGAGGAGGTGGATGAGCCTCCCTGCTAAAGATGACCCAGTTCCAGAACAAGTGGCAGATATCAGACAAATGCATGATGTATAATGTTCATGATGCATTTGGACTGCTACAGCATATTTAGGTGGTGTATCCAACATGGCAGTTAAATAACAGTATTGGTGTGGAGTTTTGTTTTGATGTAGCAGCTTTGCTGCAACATATCTGTGGTGTTCAACAATATATTATTGTAATGATTCCCCCTTGAGCCTGTGGTAATGTCAGCACACAGTTTCACCCACCATCTCCTGGCTCTGCTTTTCATCTTGATACTCTGGCATATCTCAGCCTGACAGTTGGTCTTCTGTTCTCCTCATCTTCAAGTCCAAACCAAGAATCTGCAACTTGTACATCAGTTGCTTCCAAGTCCATATTTGTGGTGTGAGGGGCTGGGGTGGAGGTGTATGTGCATGGATGGATGGATGGATGGATGGATGGATGGATGGATGGATGGATGGATGGATGGATGGATGGATGGATGGATGGATGGATGGATGGATGGATGGATGGATGGATGAAA